TTTCCTGACAATTCGCTTTCTGCATATTCTCTTACATATGATAAGTCAACATTGAAACACCTGCGGCTTTTAGTCAGGTGCGGCTAATGTATGTACAAAACAGGATTTTCCCCTGATTTTAGCTTGTGCGGCTAATATTCAGGTGCGCTTTGTAGTCCGGGAAATACGGTATATACATTTTTGTTATTATATATATTATGCATTAATACATATTAATTGTCCATTTCTGTTATGTTGCACATTTTAAAAAGAACGTTTCATTTTTAACTTCAGTAGTTTATCTGACATGTTATTAGTTTAAAATTTGTAATATTTACATTAATTTTCATACACACTGGACATTATAATAGAAATGTATACTTTATTGATCCTTGCTCAGGGGCACCTCATTCAGTGGATGACCTGAACTATCCCTGCCCCGTAAAATCGTCCTTGTGTTGTGATCGATCTGTGATAAAGTGTTTACTGTAAACATTTCTTCTTCTGTGAAGGATAAACGGGCAGCTGGTTGCTCTGAAGGTGATTCGTATGAAGACGGAGGAAGGTGTCCCGTTCAATGCCATTAGAGAAGGTGACCAATTAGATCACTGGTTAAGTCTTTAATAGTTTCAGCAACATGTGCATAAACGTGTGTGTGTGTGTGTGTGTGTGTGTGTGTGTGTGTGTGTGTGTGTGTGTGTACAGCCTCTTTGCTCAAACGTCTGAAGCATGCCAACATTGTCCTCCTGCACGACATCATCCACACCAGAGAGACACTCACCTTCGTCTTTGAGTACCTGGTGAGAAATCTGCTGTTCAGTGCTGAGTGTGACCTGAAGGAGGTGCTACAGAGCACTCACCAACACACACATACACACACACACACACACACACACAAACTTCAACCAAAGTCAGAACAACAATTTTTAGCATTCACACATTTTATATTTTTTTCTTTTAAATGTTTATAAATTTTTAAAATTTTATTTTAATGTATATATTGTTTTTTTGTTTTGTTTTCATTCTGATCTATTTATTTGTTAATATGGGGGTCATTCCATCTCAGATCACCATCTCTGATTTGTGTAGAACATTTATGGTATAAGGTTTAAACATAAATTATGTTTTATGTAAAATTTCTTACAACAGTCTTACAACAAACCTTTTATGATATTAACATGATGAACATGAGTATCTGAATAAAAGAAAAGCTTCAAATTTTCTGTGGTCTTTCTCACCATCAAAATGAAGTTTAACACCAGAGATTGTCTCTGCAGCAGACAGATCTGGCCCAGTACATGATCCAGCACCCTGGAGGTCTACGCTATCACAACGTGCGGGTACGTCGCTGCGCTCAGCAGCAGACAGCCGGGGGCGGTACTGTGTCATTCCAGCTGTGAGGAGCACGCCATGAAATGTTTAACATGGCTCAACACCGTGTGTTTCAGATCTTCATGTTCCAGCTGCTGCGAGGTCTCTGCTACATCCACAGCCGCAGGATCCTCCACCGAGACCTTAAGCCCCAAAACCTGCTCATCAGCTACCTCGGAGAACTCAAACTGGCCGACTTCGGTGAGAACCAGCTCAACGCTGCAGGGCAGAAGTGACAAAGATTTAGTCAGCAAGGACCTGTAGCAACAACAGATTTGTAAAATAACCTAGTTGGAAACAACACACACACACACATATATACACTCAACAAAAATATAAACGCAACACCTTTGTTACTGCTCCCATTCCCCATGGGATGGACGTAGAGACCTAAAATTCATTCCAGATAC